CGTAGGGCACGTGAAAGAGCGAGAGCTCGAGGGATTGCGGCTGCACGATCTCCTTTGACTTGAAGAAGGGAGCGTCTGGACGGCTCGTCCCCCAGCAACTCCACGGCGTTGCGGTCAACGTTGGCGGAGGCGATCCACTCCTGCAGGTCGTTGAGCAGAATGTCGGGCGCGATGAGGCGCTGGCAGCCGATGGAGAAGATGGTCGGGTCGGGGGCGCGGTCCCAGTCCGCAAACTTGGTGAGGTCCGTGATGGGCGCCTGAGCTTCAGCGAGCGCGAGCGTGTCACGCATCTGGTCGATCTGCTGCCACATATTTTTCTGCTCGTCGGCTTGACGGTCTTGTTCACGGCGGGTGCGTGCGACGGCGTCATGTAGAACATCCACTCGGCGTTCGGTAGCAATGACTTATTGTGCGAGAATTTGGCGAAAGCTTTCGCGTGATTCATTGAGAAGAGCGATGGCCTGGGCTTGGAAGGTGGCGGCAGCGTGTTCAACTTGAGTCTGCATGACTTGTTGAAGAGCAGCTTCGACATCAGGAGGCAAGCCTGGGATGCTTGGGGTCGATCCAGGCGCGGCGGTACCTCCAGCAGCTTCGACTGAGGCTGGCATGTCCCAACCATGAGGGACGGCGGCGGTTCCGACGGCGGACGAGCGTCCAGCGGTGTGTTGGCCACGCCAAGGGTCGCGATCTCCTGCCAGTGGTTCTGCACGTAGGTGCCCTCCAGCGGCTGGAGCAGCCTCGACTGCAAGAGGTTGGGAGGGCGGAGCATTCCCTTGTCCATCGCGAGCTTGAACGGGGGCAGCCGCTGCGTGGCAAGCGACATCGCCGCGGTGTAGAAGGTCGTCGGCATCCATCGCAAACGTTGGCGGAGTAGACGGGTGCGCAGACGAGCGACCAGGACGTGAAGGTGGCGCCGAGGCTCTCCCTGACGCGCGCACAAGTTGCGATGCGACGCCAGCTTCTCCCATGACGTCGAGTGTAACCTTGGCAGCTGAGGCGCGGGAACATTTCTCATCTCGATCTTTGTCTTGGCATCCACGGCGACGTTCTTTCCTTCTGCGTGTCGGAGCGCTGCGGGACGTCGATCTCTCATCACTGCTTGACGACATTGTAGCGGATGGTAGGGCAGGTCCAATGAGCGACTGTTGTACAGCTGTTCAATGTCCAGGGCGGCTGCGGTGCCAATACGTGGTTGGCGGAGATGCTGGCGGCAGAACTCGAGACGGGCAACGTCCACGGCGAGGATGGCGCGCTCGGAGTTGGGCTCGACGGCGGAGGCCTGGGACGCGGAGCGCAGCTCGGCGTCGGATATGAGGTGCTCGGAGCTGGGCTCGACGGGCGATATGAAGTGCTCGGAGCAGGGCTCGACGGGCGATATGAAGTGCTCGGAGTTGGGCTCGACGAGCGATATGAAGGGCTCGGTCGAGCCGATATGTATGGCAGCCTGCAATGCCAAGGTGAGAAGCAGGATGAGCCGCGGGCTGCCGCGGACTAGCGGTATCCATGAAGGACGCCGCAAGCACCATCATCTTGAGCCAAAATGGCTACGGAGGAGGAGGAGGAGGAGGAGGAGGAGGAAGAGGGAGGGGGAGGAGGAGGGAGGAGGGAGGACGGGGATACGGAGGAGCAGGAAAATGATGAGGAAACCGGAAGAAGGTAAGGAGAAGGATCAGAGGACGATGGAGGGGAAGAGGATGAAACGGGAAACGAAAGTTGAAGAGGACGACGGCGACGACGACGACGACGGCGGCGACGACGACGACGACAAGACGACGACGACGACGACGCCGGCGGCGTCGGCTCTCGGGTCGGCTCTCGGGCCGTGCCTCGGCTCCAGCCCTTAGCCGGCCGCTCGGGGCGGCCCTGGCCCCCCCCGCGGGCCCGCGGGTCGTCGTCGTCGTCGTCGTGGTCGTCGTCGTCGTCGTCGCCGCCGGCGCCGCCGCCGCCGCCGCCGCCGGCGTCGTCGTCGTCGTCGCCGTCGTCGTGGAGGGGAAGAGGATGAAACGGGAAACGATGATGAAACGGGGAAGAAGGAAGAGGCTCGAGGGGGGGTAGACTTTGGATGGTGAAGGAAAAGGAGCGTCCTAGCTGGTTTCGTCGTTTTCGGCGTCAGCGTCTCCGGCAGCGGCGGCGCCAGACCGCCCCCTGGAGCTCAAATGCAAAATTGCATGATGCGCAGACCCCCCCCCTTGGAAGTCAAATGAAAAATTTCATGATGCGCAGACCCCCCCCCAAGACCTCAAACGTATCCGCTTTCATGTCTGAATCAGGAGATCTGCATTCCCAAGTCGGCCAGAACACCTTTACTATTCGTGCCCCGTGCCTCTCCACGTTTCCTTCTTATTGTTTGCCAGGGGGGCCGTGGCGAAAATAAAAACCGACGCCTCCCCCGGCCGCTGTGGTCGCCCCGTGATTCCGACAAGGACGCCACCAACTGGCCACGATAGGACCAAAGCATCCTGGAGGGCACCAAGGTGCTCTGTAGAGGGCCTCAAAGGCCCAACGCGGCTGAATACTGCCCCAAGCTAGCCTGGCGAGTGCCTAAGAGTGTCCCAAAACGCGCCGAGAGCAACAGGTTTAGTGTGGCCGTGTGTTGCTTGTTTTTGGTTACGTCCATGTAATGCTCCCAAAGTATCACACGGGCGCGCCAAAACGTCCCCAAGATCCCCCCGATTGCTCAAGACGGTGCCCAAACGGCCCCACTATGCTGCCAAGATGCGCCCTAGAGGCGCCATGATGCCCACGGGATAACGAGCCCAGCAAGGCCCCAAATATGTCCCAATGCAGCCACGCAAGAGGGCTCAGCCAGGGGGGCCGGCGGCAGAATGCGCAGCCCCTCAGACAAACGACCGCCCCCTCACAACCCACTCCTTTGCGCTGACCGCGCCTCGAAATTGTAGCAAAGGTAAAACAACTACGCATTCGCCTCAGAGGCTCGGAGGTGCCTCGGCGTCCGCGCTCTGCGGCGTCGGGTCAACCTCGGCCTCCTGAGGCAGCTTGTCTTTCGCGTATACATTTTACGCGAGGCGCGGGAATGTTATTACAGCCCATGTGGTGAATGGGGGCACAAAGAAATGAATACTAGAAGGGGCACACAAAATATTCGGAGGGACAAGCACCTCACAGCGGCAACGGCCTTATCACCGAGGGCAGGAGACAAAGCGCGGCAATCTGCCGCGCAGCCTGGTCATGAAAAGCCAGCGCTGTAGCCCGAGTTGCGAGTTGCCCCTTTGGTTCATCTGAGCCCATCGTCTCGTGATCTTACTTCCGGATTATATGTTAGGCTCGAAGGGGCAACTTGGTACCAAACGGCTGCAGAAAATTAGTTAATTCGCGAGGCATGCAGGCAGGTGACCGACTGACGCCTGAAAGGAGGTATAGAGAGAAGAGGTGTGAAAGGACCTCGATGAGGCGATTGACGAAACAATTATCCTGCAACCTGCCTGGCCCGTATAACGGAGGGCAGCAATGGCTGGGGGCTGCCCAAGGGGGGCCGAAGTAGATGAGGCTGGGAGAGCACACAACTTCGCCGATGAGTCGGACATGTATCGGCGACACCGAGATGAAGAAACCGGACTCTGGGTCGCGCCGCATCGCGGATGTCCTGGCGATGCGGGGCGATTCTCCGATCCGAACCGCCTCAAACAGCCGACAATGTTTTTTGCATGGCTCCAGACCCTGTCCCGCAAGATCAATATGTCTCCCCAATGTCGGGGCGCCCTGAAGAAAAATAATGGGATTGAACCCATTATCCTGTCGAAGAGCCCAACCATATGCAGTTGTAAGTGCAGCAGTTGTGAGTACTGGCCTCAGTGGAGCTTCATATGGGCCACGGAGCGTTTGAGGGATGTGCCCAAATGATGCTTGGCCGCCATGCAACACAGCCACTGGGGCTTCTGGTGGAGCCTTTGAATGGGGTCACCAAACGTGTGAGGGGTGTACCGAAATGCTGCTTGGCCGCCATGCAACGCAGCCACTGGGGCTTCTGGTGGAGCCCTTTAATGGGGCCACCGAACGTGTGAGGGGTTGCCAACATGCGGCTTGGCCGTCATGCGACCGCAGTCACGGGGGCCTTCTGTGGAGCCCCCCATGACACGTGTGTGAAAGGGGTTGCCAACATGCGGCTTGGCCGCCATGCGGACGCAGCCACTGAAGTCTATGGTGGGACTCTCTCTGGGGCCACGCAGCGTGCCACTAATATGCCGAAATGCGAACGGGGCCGCCACGCCACCAAACGTGGGAGAGGTGAGCCGAAGTGGGCGCGGCGATGCTGTCACTGGGGCCCTCGGTGGAGCCCTCTATGGGGCCACCAAGCGTGCCAGGGGTGTGCCAGAATGAAGGGGCGGTCGTCATGCGGACGCTGCCACTGGGGCCTTAGGTGGAGCTTGGTATGGGGCCACGAAGAGTGTGATGGGGTGTGCCGAAATTATTGCTGGTGGAAGTTCCAATGGAACTCCTTATGGGGTCACGAAGCATGTCAAGTTGGCACCGACATGAACGGGCGGCTGCTATGCGGATGCTGTCCTTGGGGCCTTCGCTTGACCCCCTATGGGGCCACGAAACGTGTGATGGACGTGCCAGAATGAACGGGCGGCGCTCATGCGGATGCTGCCACTGGTGGGCCTTCGGTGGAGCTCCCTATGGGGCCACGAAGCGTGTGAGGGGTGTTCCGACACAAAGATTGAAGGGAAAGGGCGGCAACGAGGAGAAGGGGTAACTGGAGAAGATGCGGGGCGCTGCTGATTCAAGACGAGGACCCGACACCACAGGATCCTTGGGAATCAATCCTTCGGATGCCGAAGAAGGTCCCCAGAAGTCCCCCGAGTTCAACAGAGACCCCAGGAGGACCCTGAAGCCCCTGGAGGTCCAGAAACCCGTATCCGCGATCATCGTGCTCCGGCCCCATGTGTGGACAGGCAGCAGGAACGCGGGCGGCGGAATGTATAAACGTGCGCGCCCGGCGGCACCTCTGGGCGGCGGCTTGCCCTCTTCGAGACACCTCACGCTCCCTGGTACCTGTCGGGCATGCCGCCGCCTGGCCGCTTGTCGCCGCCCTTGCCGTAGCCCCCGCCGCCGAAACTGCCGCCGCCGCCGAAGCCGCTGCCGAAGCCGCCGCCCCCGCCGCCGAAACTGCTACCGAAGCCACCGCCCCCGCCGCCGAAGCCGCCCCCTGATCGCGCTCCTCCGAAGCCGCCGCCCCCGCCGCCCTTGCCGCCGCGGTTGCCGCCCCAGCCGCCGCCCTTGGCGCCGCCCTTGCCGTAGCGACTGCCGCCCTTGCGGCCCCAGTCGCGGCCGCCGCCACCGCGCTGGGCGAGCTCCCGCAGCTGGGGCGGGATCTCCTGGCCAACCTTGATCATGCTCTGCATCACCTCGTAGGCCTGCTTGCCCTCGGAGCGGTCCAAGAAGGTGACGGCAACGCCTGGGATCCCGGCGCGCCCCGTGCGCCCGATGCGGTGGACGTGGTCCTCGGCATTGTTCGCCACGTCGAAGTTGATGACCATCTTCACGCCCTTGATGTCAAGGCCGCGGGCTGCGACGTCGGTGGCGGCCAGGACTGTTGAGCGGCCCGCCTTGAACGCGTTCAATGCCTGGTCCCTCTCGCGCTGCTCCTTGTCGCCGTGGATGGTTCCGCAGCGGATGCGGTCTCGCCACAGGTCGTGCCCGAGCTCTTCGCACATCTTCTTCGTGTTCACGAAGATGAGGCAACGGTCCTCGGGGCCGAGCGTCTGTAGGATCGATCGCACGTGCTCCTGCTTCTCGCGCTGGCCGCTCACAATGATGGCCTGCTGCTGGATGTCCTTGTTGGCAGAATTGTCGTGCGATCCGATCTGGATGTGCACCGGGTCCCGCAGGTAGTCCGCGGAAAGCTTCCTCACTTCTTTGGGCCACGTGGCGCTGAACATCGCGGTCTGGCGCCCAGGCGGAATCGCATTGATGATCGTGCGGATCTGCGGCTCGAAGCCCATGTCCAACATCCGGTCTGCTTCGTCCAGCACCAAGTACTTGCAAACACCGAGCCTCAATTGACCACCTTCCAGGTAATCATTGAGACGCCCAGGAGTGCCCACGATGACATGACGGCCCTGGCGCATGTCCCTCAGCTGCGGGCCCCGGGGAGCACCGCCATAGACGCAGACGGAGAGGACGCCGATACGCCGGCCGAACTTTTCGGCCTCTGCCTGGATCTGACACGCCAACTCGCGCGTAGGGGCCATGATCAGCATCTGCGGCCCGTTGTAATCTGGGCGGCTGCCCAGAAAGGTCGTGAACGGCGGAAGCAGGAAGGCCAACGTCTTGCCGCTGCCAGTCTTGGCGATGCCGATCAAGTCGCGGCCAGACTGCGAAACGGGCCAGCAGTAGGCCTGGATTGGGGTTGGCGCTGCGAAGCCGAGAGCGTGGATACTGGCCATGATCTGCTTGGGGAAACTGCAGCTGTTAAAGGTCGTGTAAGGCTGCGCGATCTCGCCCTTGCCCCACACCTTCGCCTCCGTGAGATCGGTCTCGGAGCCCCCGATCTCCTTCCCGGTCAGCGCAGGCATCGCGTTGCCCCAGTTGCTCGCCGCCGCCTCGTACTCGTTCATGAAGTCGCGGATGTAGCTGTTGCCCTCGCCTCTGGGGTCACCGCCCGCGCCCGTTGCGTCTCCTTTGCCTCCTCCGCCTCCTCCACTCGGCCGGGCGTGGGGCGCGACGTAGGCACCCTGCCGCGCGTGAGGCGGCATGTAGGCGCCACTGTCCTGGCCGCCGCTCATCCCAGCGCCCGTGCCGTAGCCGCCCTGGGACCCGTTGCCGCCCTGCATCTGCTGAGGGCTGCAGCCGCCATGCTGGAAGCCGCCGTTCTGGAAGCCGCCCTGCGCAAACATCTGCATCTGGCAACCGCCGCCTGGCTGCATGGGCTGGTAGTTGCCGTTGGGCGCAGCGTATCCTCCCATGCAGCCATGCTGGCCAGGCTGCGTGTACGGAGCGGCGTTCCCCTGGCTGGCGTAATACTGGTCCCCACCCTGGTAGGCCATGTGATCCTCGCGGTTCCAAGGGATTCCTTCTCGTCTGCTTACTGCGTCGCGGAAGAAATCGGCCTGGTTTGTGCAACTTGAGCCAAAACGGCTGTGCAGGAGGAGACTAGGGGGATGAGGACCCTGGTGAGACCCTGCTGTCGTCTTGTAGTGAGTGAGAGAGGGGCATGAGGAGGACGGGGAGGAGGACGATGAGGGGGGAGGGTGGCGGATGACAACGTACGCCTTGTGACTATGTAACTTCCAACCCCCTCGAAAACAACAGGGTCAAACATTTGACTATGAATCGTATATAAATGTGACATGTGTGTTGGAATGGCCAAGGTAACTCTGGAACTTGATGAACTGCAAAAGACGAATCGAGATAATACGTGTTTTCGATACCCTACGCATGCAAGTAACTTACAAAACGCGCCCTGGACTTTCACAAGGGGGAGGGGCGAGGAAGAGAAGGAGGTCGAGAAGAAGAAAGAAGGACGAGGATTAGGAGACGGACGGGGAGGAGGGTTGTGACAACCAGCGCCGACGAGCGCTCCTCTTCAAGCACACTCTCGACAGCGCGCGCATGCATCTGCTCCATCTTCACTTGGGCGCTTGGGAGCAGAGGCTCGGAACAAAACCAGGTGAGAGACAACGGCGGCTCTCCCGCGTGGCCCAAATCAAATCCATTGGAAATTGGTCCCCAGCCCCCTCCTGGGGAACCTTGTCTAATCCATCTTGCGGATCCAACCGTCGGGAAGAGAATTCTCCAGGAAGTCCAACAATGACGAAAGACGCGAACGCTGCCCAAGACATCTGGTATCATGAGTTTCTCTACCTTTACCCCAGGGCCGGATTCCCATGCCGAATATTCGTTTGACGCTGTGGGGGCCCGGCGAAGGCCCTCGGAGACGGAAACTTGTCAAACACCGTTCGTCGCGATTTTCTCGCGACACGAAAGTCTGGGGCCGGTGGCTCGACCTTCTCCGATCTGAATTCGGCTGAAAGCAGAGGCTGAAGCTTGCAGCGGGCCCGGAGGAGTTTTCGCCTCGCGCGCGCTGCGCGGTCAGAGGGGGCGCCATGGAGCCCGCGCGGCAGGGGGGTTGCAAAGACCTCTGGCAGCAAATCTTCCGCCTGGGGGAATCGTTTTTCGGGGACCTCGGCAGGCGGTGGATATGGATACGATCCGAGTCGAGGGTTCACAGGCAACCCCCCAGACGGGATGGGTCCCAGGGTTCCACAAGCCCCCCGCACTACGATGGGATGGAGGGGGCGACGACGCCGACGCCAACGCCGACGCCGACGCCGACGCTGCCGACGTCAACGACGACGACGACGATGATGACGACGAAGCACCCCACACCCCCAGGGGGGGGGGCACTGGCACCCTCCACCACGCCACCCCCACAGGGCCACGACCACCTGTGGGGAGGGTCGATCCAAGTCGCGAGGCCTTCACGAAACTCACGGGCGCGCCCATCCAGCAAGGGGGGGGGAGGGGCTCGATCACATATGCACTGGGGGGGGTGGGGGGCGCAACCCTGGATCACATATACATATATACATATATATATATGTATATATATATGCCCACCCCAAAAGGCCTGAACATATACATGATCCACCTGCTTGCCGAGGTCAATGTGGACCGTGTGGTGTCGGAGGAGCTGGAGTGGCACTGGAGATGTACCGTTCGGTGGGTGGCACAAACGATGCACCAACAACTCTCGCAGATCAGCCAACTGTTGGGGAATCGCTGGGCGCTAACATGTAGTGGCGAAGTGGCTGGCCAAGATCACGGGCAAAGTGGACCGAGGGGGATAGAAAGGCGGCAGAAGGTCGGGCGAGGCGAAATGCATCTAACGTAAGAGCTGTCTCTGTACTTGGGCTTCATCTTGGACCATCCAGCAGGACGCGCTGGCACGACAACCGTTTAAGGCCGCCGACAGATTTTCACACTGCAACGCAAATTCACGCTGGGAGAGAAGAAGCGGAGGAGATAAGACAAAGACGACCAGGCTATATAGCAGAGGGGTGTTCAAATCTGTCGGCACAATTTCACCTCTGAAGTCCATTGCTGTCTCGGCCGGCCGCGACGCCAGTGTTCAACCCAGGTTTTTGGTGTGCCATCTTGTTGACATATGAGTTGGCGAAAGAGCGAACCAGGTCCATTTGCTATGTTGCGGCGCAGCTTCTCTTGTCTGTCCAGTAATAATTGAGACAGCGGTTCGGCGCGAGCTCTGGCCAGCACGTCAGAGCTTCTCACTCATGCAGTAAACGAAGGCTTCACGCCCAAAACGCGCCGCAAACGCCGGCAATGGAACGCATCGGTTCTGCGTCGGTCAGATTGACATAGCCACAGAGAATCAAGCGAATACCTCAGTTTACCCGGGACGCAACTGTCGCATACTTTGCATTTCCTTGTACACCCCAATGCCGCATGTGACCACAATTTCGCGAGCTGCTTCAAAACCGGCTGCGTTTCGCCCAGGCGCTGGGTGACCTCTGGTGCCGCTTGCCATCACAAGTAAGCATTCCACCTAGACGTACTGCGTCCCGGACTGTTTTACAAGGCCTCCATATGGGCGAACTACGCGCTGCTCGTCGATTTAGGAATATTCAGCATTTTGGCCCAGTTCAGCTCAATACCATATTTCTGCCCGTCCGCCAGGATAACGTTCAACATGTTTTGAATATACGCCGGACTGTGTGAAACCAACAACGCGTCGTCCGCGCGCAGGATGTCTCGTGTTGCTGCGTAAGCAGGCTCAGCCTCAAAACCCGTATCTTGCAACACATTATGAAGCATGACTGACTGCACTGCAATGAACAAATAAGACGAAAGAGGGCACCCTTGGGCGACGCCTGCCATGTGTCGTTTTTTTTGTGATTTCCCTGTGTGGTCTGCAACGGTGAAGTAACGCTCGGCATAAATAGCTTTGACCATGTTCACCATATCTGACAGAAACCCAGATCGTTGCAGGGCGTCGCACATGCTGTCCGGTTTGAGCTGGTCGAACGCCTTCGCCCAGTCCAGCAGCAACAAGATGCGGCCACCGTGCATGTTGTTGCGCGCGGCATCGACCATTCGCCAGATAAGCGTCAGTGCGTCCGCCGCCCCACGCCCAGGGCGGAAACCACATTGGGATTCCCGCGCGCGGGCTTCAGCGCCACCGCGAATCAGATGTTGATGTAGCATAGAAGCAAGATTGTTAAACCCAACTTGCAACTGGGATAAGGGTCTGCAGTCGTCTGGCAGAGCTGTACCTCTTTTAATAAACAACAGAACTACGTTCGCGCGCCTTCAAGAAGCAGGAATTGACTTCTGATCCCAACATGTCCGACATAAGTGGACCACGATGGCACAGGCGCCCCGGCTCGAAGCTAAGATCTTCCAGATGTCTGGGGGGGGGGGGGGGGGGGGCACTCCGGCCCGGCAGCTTTCCCAATGCGTAGCCGGCGCAGCGCATCGGTCAACTCTCCCATGGCGAGTGTATCCGTGTCGATCGGCAGCGATTGTCCTATGGGCGCGCGCTTGTGGGGTAGGCTCTGGGAACCGGACTTGCCATTGCACGTCTGCGAAATAGTCCGCCAAGCCATCTGGCCGTCCAGTTGTATCTGCGAACGTCCCATCCGGATGCTTGACCGTCGCATGCTTTGCAATGAGATGTTGACTAAGGTGGCGAACCGCTTCCCAATCACCATTTCCCAATAACATGCCCAACCATTATTCGCGAACTTGCGCCCCAGATTTCCGCATCGATTTGCGCAACTGTTTTCGGGGATCTTCTGACCCAGGTCAATCCAGACCTGGGTCAGCGGGAAACCAAAAACTGCAATGCAGAAGAAACGAAAACAGCAACGCAGGTCTTCGCGAACCCGGGTCAGCCAATATGCGCGGCCGCCTCGCGGCCACGAGCGGCTCGCTAACCCGGGTCAGCCAGAGGGGGTCTTCGAAGGATCCCGCAGGATCTGGTGCCCTGGCTGACCCCCGTTTGCATTGACCCCCGTCTCAGGGCTCCCGATGTTCTCCTGCGTTGAGATCCCCAGCTGCGCGAGCAACATGTCTGTGGTCGAACAGATCGAGCGCGCGCCTGCTTGTCCACGCCTGCTTAGGACTCCATTCCCGCGCGGCCAAAATCTCGGGAGCTTTCTCGAATCGATGTCGGAGCCAGTCTTCAGCAAATCAACAGCATCAGTTCCAGCATTCATTGAATTCCCAACGGCCTCAACAAAATGATCACGTAAATCGCTCTCTTATGTGAGTATAGTTGACGCTCGCCTTGTCAACGTGCTTGTTCTTAGAAGTGTCATTGTATGTGAAGGTCAGATTTGAAATCACAATGGCGACGTAGTGATGCGCGTTAAGCACGCCCCGCCGGAGCGTCCAGATATCACGCAGGGAGTTTTTTATGAAAAAAATATCCGGGGGCAGAGCACGTGGACTATCTGTGCGAACTTATTCCCAGAAATGCCATCGCCTGAAGGGGCGACGCCCAGATCGCTACCAAAAAACTGCCATGCTTATTGGATGGTCGCGAAACGTGTTAGCCACCAACAAATCACAATGCGTACACAACCCCACTAGGAGGTCCCTGTCTGAAGCTGTATTCTGCACCGCGTTGTCCGCAACACCTGGGAACTGAAACGCGCGGGCGCCGATGGCATCTCCTTCTCCGGCACCAGCCCGCAACGGCCTCTGCGTTCAAGTCTCTCATGATGTACGTCATGCTGTTCGCAGTGGTTACTCGGGCATGCGTCTGGAGATCCATGTAGAAAGAGCGCCGCCCCTCGTATGGGCGACGGTTCTGCGGAGCATATGTGGGAAGCAACGTTAACATGCCACGTCTGACTTTGATTCTGAGCGAGGCCAATCTGGAAGTGCACGCCTTGAGTGCGGCGGTGCTGTTCAAGACTCTCGGAGCCACCATGAATTCCGCTCCGCCGTGCGACTGGGCTTCCGAGTCCAGCTTGCCTGAAAGAGAAATAGCGAAGCCTCGTCGCGTATAATATTATGCTCC